AAACTATTAGTTGTAATGAAGATTTTGCCGATCTCCTGCGGTTCAACATGGCGGATGTACAGTGACAACACGTGTGTGGACGGTCGGTCGAGTAGTCTGCAACGGACCATAAAATCGCCCTGCGTTTTTTCGGCAGTTTTTTTTAAATATTTTGGATATTTCATTCTCTCCTGACGCCTAGAAGAGTCTAATTTATATATTACCGTAGTCATTGACACTTATTCAAGAGTATGGTGTTTATTGTGAATAGCCTGAATGGGTAACCTTCGTTTCGACAATGAGCTGTTTTTTCTGTGAACAATGTTAAGGTATTCTTTGAATGCTCAGTTTATTTTTTGAAAACAACTAATTGTTTGATTTAAAAAAAAATCATGCCGTTTTTCGCGTCAAAATAAAAGCATAAAGATCTTGCTACAATATCGGTGAATCTCTACAGTACCGCGTTGCGTTCACCACGAAGTCACTTAAATGACAATGCGTATTGAAAACATGGCAGATATCGTATCACATCGAGCATTTACGTTCGACCGAAATCATTCGTTTACGATGAAACTAAGTTGAATATTACTTCCAATTCATAAAAATTCAACGCATTACATTTTTGTGCGTTATTATAATCATTACTGAATAATAATCAACAATTACAATACTTTGAAAACAAGTAGGTTATTCACTTGCGATACACAGAATGACCAGATTGTGCTACCGTGATAATTTGCTACTGGTACTAACCGCTAAGCAATGTATTCGTGTTTGTATTTATTTGAAACTTCTTTTAGAACATACTTTACTTTTCGTTATCAACAAAATTATAAAAAAATAATGCATATTATATTATGTGAATTTTTTTTTTGGGGGGGGGGGGGGGGTTCAATTCCAACATTTCGCGATGCCTATGAACCAAAGGCCTTTCACTCTTCTCTGAGTGTGACACCTAAACCAGAGGTTTTATGGTGTATAAACTGGCACTAAATGAAAATGCCGTTGAACCTTATTCAAATTTATAAGTACATACATGTTATTATGTAGTTCATTATGAAAACTGACTAAATTAAATGTGATCTTATTTTTAATTGTTTGAACAGAATGATTTATATCGGTAATGACGTTTTCATCCAATATTAATTGTGCAATTGCTATAATAATGCCTACCTACACATTTATTGTTTTTGTTTCTGTTGCCCTGAAAAAAATTCAAAAATCATTAAAAAAAAAAGATGTAGCCCCTTTCTGTTATCTTCCAATGTCTTCCAAAGTAAAACTGGCGAAGGCATGTCATTGCCATATATCATCAACTGTGGGAAAACTTGTATGTTATTGAAAATTTTTATTTTGTTGTCTGTAAATTAATATAATATTTGAAATGGCGTAATGGTGCAAAATATTCTCAAACAATCGGCCTTCTGGTGGCACTACACTGCGCATTTATGCACAGTCAGTATCCCAATGCGTGACCTCAGCTTACTAAGTGATGATGGTGGTTGAAATAGAAAACTGAATACAAAAATCAAGTAACATCTCAAACGAATTTCCGTCTGCTGTGAATGCATGTTTCGTTACATCAAATAAATAACCCAATTTTATGATAGAAGCTTGCGATCTTGTGCCATACAGGGTCAAGTGATTGAGCAATAAAAAATGTGGTTTTATGTATCAGGTCATTGAATGTATCCAAAAACATAGTAACAATGATCTGAAATTTCAGGAGTGCTCGCTGAAGGTTTATCAATCTTGCGTATTGTCTTGTTCTTTTTCAATCCTGCATTTCAGTTACTAGAATTTATACTAAAAAAAAAATAGTTTCTGTTTTTCTTCTAATAATTCAACCACTCTCAAAAACAAATATTTTTCCATGGTCAAAATGCAAGAAGAATACAAAACTACTGTGATTGCATAGCGATACCTGTAGGGCCATTGTCAATTAGTTCGCCTGATCAACACGGTGTTATACATAGGGCTGATATTGAATCACGGAGAGTAAAATTTTGTGATACTAATTTCTAGAACCACTCAGATTGGTACATATGTCTTATGAACCTACAAGTGTATATCTTTGACAATACTCATTTTAAACTTTTTTTTTTTTTTTTTTACATCGGTGCTGTGAACTGC